TTTCAAAGCGGTGTATCCGGCACTGCTGTTACGTTTATAACCATCGATAGCTTGAGCGATATACAGAACTGTAATTAATAAGGACAGAAACCGACATAAGAGGAACTTAACTGCTGACAACTGAATTTCGTTCCTTATTTCATATTATTAAGGGCATGTGACAAGATGGCATTGAAAGCCTAAATTTGATTGATTTTGATTTACTAAGAAGAGAAACAGTTCTTCTTAAATTTCTCCTTAAACAGAACGTCAGTACCAGTTACGACTTTATGATGAACCGCCAAATAAATAGATTCTACAGCCCTGGCAGGTTTGTTCCTGGCATTTGGTTTGTTCCTTCTTATTTTCTCTCATCCATCTATCCATCCATATCAATGGACATATATTTAATAAATGTCAGAATGTCTGAAGATATATGAAGGAATGAGAAGTGTGTGCATTTTTTCTATCTACAGTTTTAAAAGTTTAGCAATGTGTCTTACTTTCTCGTAATTTTTTTTTTTTTTCATTTGGCATCTCAGTCATGGAACAAAATGTGCTGGGATCATTGCAGGAGGAAACAATGATAATTGTGGAGTAGGAATAGCATACAACGCCAAAATTGCAGGTAAGGAAGAACAAAATTTTAAGGAAGGGCGGGCAGTTTACACTTCGGTGTTTTCAAATCATGTACTCTAAAAAAAATCGTTCGATAGACTCCCCTCATCATACACATGAAATCCACTCTTCAATATCAGGGCAAACGTGTCAGATCGACGATTTAATCTTTACTTTATGACAAATTCTCTTTTTTTAAACGTTTAAAGGTAGATTGTATCATGTTGAAGATCAAGAACATCTTTCCCGAAAGAAAGTCGGGTCATAGTTAAGTGAAACCCATGCAATCTGAGAAGTTATTAATCCATTATTAGCTACTGAATAAATACCGCCATAAGCTTTTGGAAGTAACCAAAGAAAAATTCTGTGTCTAACTGAAAATGAGGAGTTTCCCTCTGCAAATCTTTTCTAATATAGAACAAGCAAACAAACATTGAGACATATGAACAAAAATATGATCTGAATGTTGTTTTCTGTCTTGAGGTGACTGACAGATGAAGAATTTATCTTGTAGGTATTCGAATATATGATGACTCCACCAAATCAACAGATTTATCAGAAGCAAAGGCCTTGAGTTACAAAAATCAATTAATCGACATCTACTCCAACAGTTGGGGACCTGGTGACATGGGCTGGCGAGTGGAAGGACCAGGTCCCCTCTTAACAAAGGCTATGGAAGAGGGAGTCGAAAACGTATGTGTGACAAGATAAGCCCTTATTAGTGATATTTTGTAGGAGACATGTTACTGTGATTTTCAACGAAGCTATCTTATTAACGAATCCTGGTAATTCATTCACTCATAAACGTTTGTGAAATCTAGGGTCGCCATGGGAAAGGGTCCATCTTTGTCTTCGCCGCAGGCAATGGTGGTTTCACAGGCGACAGTTGCGCCTTTAACGGCTACGTAAACAACATCCACACAATTGCTATCTCCGGAGTTAACTGGGACGGCTCGGTACCAGCTTTCACAGAGCCTTGTGCGGGCATCATGGCTGTCACCTATGGAAAAGACATGTTTACCTACACAACGGAAGGAAACGTTAAACCTCCTTTGGTTAGTGGCTAAGTAAAAGGATTCAAGTTTTCTGTTGTAGAAGTCCTTTGTAGTTGGTCGGTTTCCGCATAAAGAGTTTCCGTGATGGAGTACAACGGTTTAAAAAGAGATGGTCGACTCATCTTAGAGATGCAATGAATATATGAAGTTCATATATTCATTGCATCTCATTTATCACTTTCACGGGTTTATTACGAATCAACTTAACGGCCTGCTCCCAGTTGGCTTGTTAGCTCAATTGGTAGAGCGCTGCACTAGTATCGCAGAGGTCAGTGGTTCGAGTCCCGTACAGGCCTGATTTTTTTCAGTTCTGATTTTCGCTATTGCATAAATAGCGCTAACTACTGCGAGGATCGCACATCATACGTATCTAATACCGCAGTTCAAAATATATGAACTTCATATATTCATTGCATCTCATTTATCACTTTCACGGGTTTATTACGAATCAACTTAACGGCCTGCTCCCAGTTGGCTTGTTAGCTCAATTGGTAGAGCGCTGCACTAGTATCGCAGAGGTCAGTGGTTCGAGTCCCGTACAGGCCTGATTTTTTTCAGTTCTGATTTTCGCTATTGCATAAATAGCGCTATCTACTACGAGGATCGCACATCATACGCGACTCATCTTTCTTGCAGATAACTACAGAAGGAAGCAGTGGTTGCACGGAGGACTTTCCAGGAACCTCAGCCAATACCGCATTGGCTTCTGGGATCATTGCTCTGACTCTACAAGCCAAGTAAGAGCGTTGCAAATAGATTTCTCGACAATTAAAACCGCAAAGACGTCTCAAATAAAATTTGGAGTTGATCCCTCGGAGTTTTGAAATGACCTTCTAAATTTTTCTTCCCGATTGTGGTGCGATTCATTTTCTTTGCCTAAGCGTCGCAAATTCTGGAGTGATGCTTTATTTGTCGGCGCTGTTGTCTAGATTTAAAATCCCAGGGGCCACCAGCTCCTAGTTGTAATAGCTTTGGTATAAAACTAAATAGCCCTAATGAAATTTCTTCAAAGTAACTTCACAAGACTAAACTGAGATCAACAAAATAGTGACGGCGAGACCGGGTGTTGCAAACACATACACGGTATACGTCCAACGTTACAGTTCTGATTAAGTTCTTAAAATGGCGGTTTTTCACTGTACTCAAAGTTCACTCTCCGTGCACTGCAAAGGCATTCCCGACTGAGAGCTCAGTTCACGGAATTCGCGGCGCTGATGCGCTTTTATTTTTTCTTTTAGTCAAGATCTGACATGGCGGGATGTCCAACATTTGATAGTGAGAAGCTCTCAGCCGCTAGATTCCCCCGCCGTGAGCCAGAGGCGCTCAACACCTTCCTGGAGCACTAATGCGGCTAACCTGCCGGGTATGTTAGCAACAATTTTTTAGTAGCAACTGTTCTTGTAAGCACCTTGTAAGAACCAAGTATCAGTAGAACATCATAGCACGAAATCAGTTGCAATGTGAGGTTTCAATTTCTCATGGAGACTCAGAATTTTTTTCTGTGTCTCACACGCGAGACAAGACGAAAATATCTCTTTCATTAACAACATGATTGGCCATAGAAGAGTATAGCACCCACGCCACGGTACAAAATATGCCGTGCTCTCAAAATTATAATTTGTGGTTCAGTTGGTAGTTGCATCGAGCTAGCATCTGAGAGGAATAAACTTTTGTCATAATTATTTAGCTACGTCTGTCCTTGAGATTCATTTTCTACAAAAAGTAAAGAAATATATATTACCAGCGGAAGTATTTTTAAATTGTGCTTTTTCATTCTAGTGAGCAGATTTTATGGGTTTGGACTCATGGATGCTTCATTGATGATTAGATATGCAAAAACTTGGGTTTCTGTTCCACAGCAACTGTCTTGTGAAATCCCTTACAAAATCTCAGGGTAGGTAGTTTTGTCCCATTCGGTTTGAATGTTTCGTTTTTCTTATTACCAAACGATTAAACTCTGTTAACTAAGGTAAGTGCTGCTCAATCCTACAATACTTTTAATTGATATCACAGACCCAAGCAGTTTACAAAACGCGTCGTCTAACTCATTTGTGACTTCTCCTTACAGCTTTTTTATTGAAAACGAAAGGTCTTAGGTGTGTGTCTTCTATCTTTACCTGATCAGGTTTAATTTTGTAGCTTGACAAAAGGAAATGACAGAGATCCTTAGAATTCAGTTTCACTTGAAGAAAGTCAGAAAGGCCTAAACTCTGATTTTATTTTATTATCTGGACTTTTGTCACCAGTTCATCATAACGACGTAATATCATTTTGAGTGGCTTGTCCAAAGAATACTGCAATATTCTGCGAACGCCCTGCATTCACTTTTGTTTACCTATTAAGAACATATTGGCTAACTGAAACTAATCTTTATTTCCCAATTGTCATACTTCAACTTTTTAAAGATCTGCTTGGCCACAAATTCCGTGGACTGGACAATTAGATCTAACTTTGTCTGTGAACGAGCACCACTGTGGCATTCGATTCTTGGAACACGTTCAAGTGAAAATCGACGTCACTTTCCCTCGACGAGGATACCTGGAGATGAGTTCAGAATCACCGAGTGGAACCCAGTCCAAGCTCCTTTATTCACGAAAGTACGACAGTTGGACTGGCTACAAAAATTTTAAAAACTGGAAAGTAACAAGTTTACATTACTGGGGGGAGAATCCTATTGGAGACTGGCACATGACGTTACGAAACTCACAGCCACATAGAAACAGTAGAAATGGTAAAGTCATTTCATCTATTCTTTTAGAATGTAACTCCTAATTTTTGCAGTCGAAATTTGTCCATATGGAAATTTTATAACTTAGCTTATACCAAGGAGTGTTAATTATGGACAGATCATTTCACAAAAATTGCAAATAGAAATCAAGGTAATAAAGGTAAGGATCAAGTCGAGAAGAAGTATGAAGAGAATTTTGAACGAGAATGGCATATGATTGTGTTGCCTGATCGTCAAAATGAGTTTAGTCCTGATAAGGGCTGTTATCAATAGTCGTGACTGACGTTTCGACAACTTGAGCGAAAGTCCTTACCAGAGTCCGGACAATTGGTGTTTAATCGATCAACCAGTAATCCGTCACTGTTTCATCTCATCGCTTTTTAATCGACCTGTTCACCACAGATACCAAACAGCTTCTGATTTTTATCATCCCTTGGGAGATTATGTTCATTGATTATGGTCTAACTCTCTTTTATTTAACAGCTCAAGACCGACTAATCGAAAGAGTCAAGAGAAGATTGTGGTCAGCACCAACAACACCAACGAAAAGTAGGTGTAATGCTACATGTTTATATCAACAAAAGGGACTGTATTTACTCGAATATTGAGCGCGCCACTCCTACGCAAAATAAACCCACCTGCTACTGGCCTTGTTCTCCCTCACACCTTTAGATAGCAGAGATATGACGTGTAGATTAGATTAATAATAATTAGATTAATAATAATAATTAAGTAGATGTCAGTACAACTTATGAAGTTTAAAGGTCTAATAAAGGATAAATTAGTGAATGAGAAACCTCATTGAAAATGTGTTTCGCTTTTATTGGTTAATTCAGCGGCCATATTTTATTGCACGGCCCTCTAAATTTAAAAGTTTGTTCAAATTGAAGTCTTTTTTCTCTGTTGGGACCCAGAATGTAATAACAATCTTAATAGTCTCGTTTTCTCTGTCGGTAACACACAGCACAAACCTTGAACTGGGGTAGTAAGAGATGTTTATCATGATAATGTTCAATTTTATCCGGGTTGCTAAGAGACTCAATTTCCCGACCGTTACTAGAAGACGACGCCAAATTGATACAAATACATGTTTAACTAAACTTTAAATAAGATAAAATTAAACATAGGATGGTTTTGTTTGGAGATTTGCATTAACTTCCATCATATCTTTATCCGCCCGTTTTTGTTGACGGACACTAATGGCAAAAAAATTTATGCAAGTTTAGAAACAATCTTAGCAAGAAAACTGTAATTAAACCAATGACAGAAAATGACTGAGCTTAAAAAACTTCTGCTTTAATGGGATTCGAACCTGTACGTTCCAGATACTAGTTGGGAGGCTATTTTTAACTGGGGTCCATTGTCGTTCATGCCTTAACCAGAGCATAGAAAGCAGTACAGTCTATACTAAGCAGATAGAGGGTATTCAGACTGAGTTCCTTTGCTATTCTGTTTCATTCTCTATATACTTAGTTGACGGAGGATATTCAAACTGGTCTTCCTGGTCTCAGTGTACTGTAACGTGTGGTGATGGGACTCAATATCGTAGTCGTTCATGCAACAATCCAATTCCTTTAAACGGAGGAGCGCAGTGTGTGGGAAGTGCTCAAGAAACAAGGAAATGTCCCTTCAACGTGTGCCCGACTCCAGGTAAATACTACACACTGTCACTTCTTAACTGACTGTAAAGATGCTAATGATACACACAAGGACACCTTTTTGACTGCAAAGAGGTAATTAGAAACCTGAGTACCAATGGCCATATACAAACGACTACATTTTCTTTCTTTTCGGTCAGAGGTTTGAATTTTTTTGGTTTCCAAGGAACATTTGTCAGTTACTCGATTTATTCAAAATTAAAATAATAATATCATTCCGTCCAGATTAGGCCGCTGTAGATTGTGCTAGTAAAAGTAGCCTATTGTGCTACTATCATTGCTTAATTTTTTCCACATTATTCTCAAGATTGTCTTTTCTTTTGGAAATTATGATTTCGTTAAGTATGCTTTTAAAAAAAGCCGCAAAAAGGTCCAAATTGTATAGTTATTATTTATAAAGCGTGATAATTTCTTTTTATTGAATCACATACTTGCTCTAATAAAACACAATGAACTACCGCACTTAATTCCAGACTAGAAGCGGTCACTTAAAGTGTCAAAATGACAGCTTCACGTTTCTCTTAGACGATTTTGTTGTTAACGCAATATTTACTTCCGGTGCAATCTTTACTTCCGGTGTGCCCAATCCTTTAGACGACGGACGACTCACTATTGCGGTAATCCTCTTCCCCAAAGAAATTACAGCGTTGAAAATAGACTGAACCCCTGACCGAATTTGAAAAATGATCAATCTCATGTAGAAATCAAGCGAGTCATATTCTAGTAATGTCCTCTTCGAAAAAGCTAAAAACATGATGATTGTGCGAGCAGTGCTACTTTTTTGAAAGGTCAAAAAGTAGGCTCGATTGCCAAATTACGCCAAGAATTATGTTAGCACAATCTATAAGGGATTATTCGAGAGGGAGCAAGAATATCCCTGTTCACTTCCTGCTTCAGAACTCGGGAAAATTCTGCAGAAGCAGCAGTACGTGAGTCACTCCTGCATGTAGACTTTGTGCCCCTCCTCTAGAGTGTTGTGTGACAGAGGGAGAGAAATAACCGGTGCTTATGTTAGTTTAATGTGTAAGCTGAAAGGATTTGTTCGTTATTCTCAGGCATTCCAATAAATGGCAACTACTCCCAGTGGACTGAGTGGTCACAGTGCACCCAGTCATGTAATGGAGGAACTCAACATCGCTCGAGGGAATGTGATAATCCACGACCGGCAAATGGTGGGAATGACTGCAGAAAAATGGGACAAGCTACGCAGTACAGAAAATGTAACCCACAGAATTGTCCAGGTAAAGTTTTCCATGCTAGAGATTAAAGAGAAATTACATTCCTAAAGCTTCTTGGCCTATGCAAAAATTGTCACAACTGCGTGACCCGTGGTAAAGTCAAGTAACAGGAGGTTATTCTAATTTGGTAACTAGAGATTTCCATACATATGTTTAAATCAGTTTATGGCCTGTATCACTGGCTAAGGGCTTCTCCATTTGTGAGAAGCTGCAGGTTTTCCGTTCATGCCAGCGAATTGAGTCACAGGAGAGTCCATCGCACCCAAGGCGTAATTGAGAGTAATCTTTAACTGTTTACACTTTCCTGTAGTTGATGGACGTTACTCTCCGTGGAGCAGCTGGAGTGTGTGTAGCAGGACATGTAACGGGGGATATAAGCGTCGTTCTCGTACCTGTACCAATCCCCCGCCAGAATTCGGTGGACGAAACTGCAGGAGACTGGGATCTGCTACACAGTCACAACAGTGTAACACACAAAAATGCCCAGGTGATAACTTTTTTCATTTTTCTTTCTTTTTATCCAGTTTTCGAGAATGTATGATACAGCAAAAGCTGTTTCTTACCATTGTGTTTTGCGCTGCTCCTTTTCTGATGGTTTCCATGAAATTCGGCACAGACTCATCCGAAACTTAAGCGTTTTAATTTGTACATCATCGTAAATACCATTATCTATTTATTACTTTTATTGCCATCATCTTTTTAAGCTGTCAGTGCTCAGTCGTAATGACGAGAAAGGGTCATTTTCAAGTCAGAATTCATCAGACTCCCCTTCACTTATTTATCACATTCCCTCGAGCGATATTGAGTTCCTTCATTACATGACTGGGTACACTGTGCTAACATAAATGATTTAGTCAGTTTATCATTCTACTGTAATGAAAAATTGATGGCTTGTGAGCTCAGTTGGTAAGGCAATGCAGCGGTATCGCAGAGGTCATGGGTTCAAATCCCGTACGGGCCTGAATTTTTTTTTCAGGCTTTATTTCCACCTACTAGATAAGTAGGGTTTATTACTGAGAGGAACGCTTTCAAGCATTTGGTGGATCATGAGTATTTTTCGATAATTTAACAAAGGATCCTCACAATCTTTTTTAATGGTGTATAGGTTACGTATTCTCATTGACATTAATCCTTTTTGGAACAAGAGAAGATCCTCTGGCAAACAATCTTCATGTAGATAGGAAGACGAAGAAAATGAACCGAGTTGATATCGAAGAAAGAAAAAGAGGTGAGAACCGAAATAATTCCGATCAAGAGATCATAAGATCATAAGATCTCTCGATCTGATCCATGTATTGCCTCTTGCTTGGTCGTCATTAAAGCAAGTCTTAATTGAGTGTCGAAAGTAATTCGAAATTACTTTGTTTTCGCTTTGCTCACCCTGCGAATAGTCCAGAAATCTTGTACTTTTTACTCAACCAATCAGGTTCATTCAGTCAATGGCGTTTTACTGCACAATGAGCACTCTGCTTGTTTATAACCTGAATTCTTATTGGCTTTTTAGTGTATTTTCCTTTCAATCTCATTGGCTGTTAAAATTACTTTGATTTTGTTTTACGACGATCTATCAAAATGCTCCTCATATCACGATCATGATCATACTTCAGCAAGTTTTTATAAATGAGTACCAGTGACATTTTGAAACTTGAAATGTCGATGATTACCCACTACCAAAACACTTACCAAACTTTTACAATGTCAGTTTGCCTCGTTTTATATACTAGAGTTGACTAAAATCTAAGAACCACTGATTGCTTAGTATTCATAAATTCTGATTTAAGATATTCCAATTCACGGTGGCTGGTCACAATGGAGTCGCAGATGGTCTCGTTGTAGCAAAACATGTGGAGGAGGAACTCAGACTCGTTCTCGGGCATGTACCAGTCCCCCTCCGGCTAATAGAGGACGAGATTGTAGTGGTCCTGGTGAACAATCACGTAGATGTAACACCCGTCCCTGCCCAAGTAAGTTTATACCGCAATTCAGTATATTCAATAATTTTTCCCCATGTGGGATAACATGTTGATGGTTTATCGTCGCCTAACACAAGTTCAATTTGATGTAAGATAAAGTTCTGAGGTGTCACGAGCTAATTTAAAAAAATTATATAAAAACCGTTGTCACAAAAAGGGAAATGCAATGTCAAAATCTTGGAATAGTAGCAAGGGTTTGTAATCCAGCAAGGCTTTTATTACCGAGTGAACTTTATTTGTTTTTGTGGCTTTCAGCTCCACCGACGAACGCAACTTGCACAAATACTGGAGGTGACAGAAGATGTGATTTATGGAGACAATACTGTAACTCAAGTGATTACGTTCGAACTAATTGTGCGAAGACGTGTAACACTTGTCCAGGTTCGTTCCTGTTCTAATAACTATGTGTTGATATGATGAAGTTTTCAATTGTTAGCTTAGCTAACTCTTTCTTCTTTTTAATTATGACAGTTACGTAAATTTTTTAGTTACTTTGATTGAGAAAGGCAATAATTAATTCTTTCCTGGCCAAATCGGTGAAAGTAATTGGACTGAATGGACAAATTTGTAAGATACAGCATTCGATTTACAAAGACTAACAGTTGGTCCGCTGGACGTTTTTATCAAGGTATATGTGAGAACGGTAAAGTAAGGTAAAATCTGTACTTAAGCCACGTGACCCTCCTAGCCGGAGTCGATTCCGGCTTCCTTAGCAAGTGATAACGTTTATTATCACTCCTCCCGCCCCCCC